CTAACCTAGGAGTACCGTGGTCCTGTGCAATTACGAGGAACTCAAAGGCGTCCACTTGTTCATAGTCTAAAGGCTGTATCAGTCGGAGAACAACCCCATCTTGTACCGGAGATGCAAGTATGTGAATTCGTAGGAAATCAGAACCGAGGATTTGATTGGCTTTCAAGTTGTTGCTGGGCCTGAGGTAGTAGGATATGCGCGCGTTTTCACCTGCATCTGTGTCGTTCACTCGAAGTCTAGCAAAACTCTTTCCAATTTGGTTTTCCTTTATCAACACATGTATTGTTTCAGTGTTGAAAGTGGGCGCATTGTCGTTTTCATCCTGGATCTGAAAAAAGACGGTAAGGATTTTCTCAGGATGGGGAAATAAGTCATACCTTATAAGAAAAATGAGATATCAGTTAAAACATAATATCAAACCGTTTTTGTGATAGCATGATTTGATATTTTGTAAATATACAAAACGGAAAGGTCGCTGACATTCTGAATACTACAATTACTACACCAAGTAACTGTATACTTCACTTTTTCTGAATGTTGAATTATGCCGCGTTTTGTAATTAGCAAGGTTATGTGAGTTTATTAAACCACAGTGACGCTCATAAATTAATGGCTGTGGACATCTCAATGTACTTAGCCTTTGAACGTTCGTTGACGTTCTTTGGTGTCCTGCCGGCCGTAAATTTTGAAAATGTTTCTCGTATAGAAGATAATTACCAGCACAAGTCAATGTCTCCATGTAAACCAAGCAAGCGGAATTTAGAAGGTTTTGAAAAGTATCCGAGACTACGCTTAACATATTTTAATGATGAAATATTCGTACATATTAGTAGGAAAATCGTCTTCAAACACAACTGACCGTCGATTGTGAAGCGAAAAATTTTACCGCGAAAAGTACATCGCAGAAGTTACATTTATCACTAAGTCGACGGAAGAAAATATGGTTTATTCATTGTCCTACAGCATGACTTCCAAAAATGTTTCCGAGTCCTGCAGAAAGGGTTCTTACGTTTAAAATCGGTCCTTAATTTATTAAAGGTGTTCTTTTATGTGCTTTCATTTTGTTATGCAAAATAATTGATATCTTATTTGAACTGTATCCTAGTATTGTTGATTTGCTCATGTGGAGACATTCGGAGGGTTTTAAGCTTTCTTGCGTTATTTGGCTTGAAAATTCTCCTTGGAGCAGTTTATATCATGTCATATAGAAATTGGGCTTTCTGTTCAGGAGAACAACATAATTTGTGACCACTCTTTTGGAATTTACCTACGGAAGGCAATCCGAATCTGGTAGGCATTCGCAAATTATCTCATCATATTACGATTGCAATCTGCGGTATGCTCAGGATACTTTTTAATCCGCAATGGCCTCCTAGAACGCTTGCCTTGCATTTTCTAAGTATCGTGCTTCACTAAAAATCAAACAATCCTAGTTTTTGTTAAAGAGCATCTAGGGCAACTAGTTTTCAACAGTCTCGAAAATGAACTTTTATGCGTACACATAAAAATTGAAGTTAAACTTGCCAAGGCAGTTTAACACTTTGCCGTGGGCCCCTAACGAAGCCTTTGGAAATGTATATCTCTCACGGCATTGTTATTGTGGACATCCAAACGACGATTTGCAAGTAGCCTTGTGTCATGTTTTACAACGTTTTTTTATTTTGCAACACTTTTCAGTCACATGGATCAATTTATTTGGAGAATTATTAGACTTTGTGGCCAAAATAACCTTTTGAAATATAGCAAACAGTTTTCACAATTCAGGTGTTCGAAGCGGTGAAAGGAGTCTAAGTTTACATTATGATGTCCGTGATCAGCTGCCAGCCTACAGCCGTTGCCAAAGGTACTTTTGCTAAACGGAATTCCTGAAATGAAGTATGGAATGTGAGTTAAAGCTGGAGAGCATACAGCGTGATTTATGGCAAATTTTTAGCTTTAGAACCATTTTACTTTCTTTGGGTTGTGTGTCGTATTGCAGACACAGGGCCGCTAAACAATAAGCAGAAGCATCCTGAAGGAAATAAAGAAGACTACAACCCCATATGGCTGCAACAGTTTCTCGTCGTATAATTCGCTAAAAAATGTAATCCTACTAGCATTCAAAAGCTACAGTGGTCTTCTTTATAGTGAAAAGCGTATGCTACTGCTGGGATTTTTGTGTAAACCCTCCGACTCCATTTTGAACGTGTTTGCCGTTTCGAAGAATAATATGGGATATTAAGAGCCATAAATACTGCTTTTCTTAAAAAAATATTCCACAGACTGTGATACGCGATTGAAAATGTCAGATGGAAATCGCCTCGGTGACTCTCTTCAATATCACAACTGTTAACATGACCAGAGTTATATCCTTTAAGTCTATGGCCATGCATTTTATACATTAATCGACGCAATGCATATATATGAAGGAAAATGCAAAAGGCAGTAACCAATTTTTTGAATGTTTAAAGCAATCACTGGTCGGTTAGGACCAGTCTGCCCCCAGGTGCACTTTCGTTTGGGGAAAAATCGGCGTTGCTTGTATTTCTCAGTCAGAGAAGGTTTGACGGTCCTTATTATTAGACAGAAGTCGCCATGCACCTGTCTTGGATGTATAAATGTAGTTAACTCATTCTTAATTTGTGAAAACTGTTGTCTCGTACTTCACCGAATAAAGTTTTCGGGAAACACCTTTTAAGAATAAAATTTTAACGGATATTTTAATTCTATTCGGTATATTTCATTCATAAAGCAGTTTATTTCCCTTCAGCCGAATATTCTATTAACAGCATTCAGCTTATAACAAATCGGGACTTTGTTCTCATAGTGTAGGATAACCTTCTCATGCGTTTCTTTTAAGTTAACAAATGCGTTCATTGCACCGTCGGCCTTTCCTCGTACGACGACTGCTGGGAATTGGTATCCCGGACAACCATTTAAGGTTTCAAAATGACACTTAGGGCTCCTAAAACGACGCGAAACGACACCTTTCAATTACCACATGCGCAGTGCGAGACATAACGGCAGCGAGGTGGATGAATCCCTCGGCCCTTGTGGAGAAATACGGCACACATTCTATGTAATATTTGCCTTTCCAAATGTTAGCCTACTCTGGCTCACGTAAGGAACTTTCCTAAGCCGTTCTCTTAACCTCTCGGTATCCTACGATACTCTTAAGAAGCAATTCAGTAAACGGTACCACAGAAGTAATAATAGACTGTCCGGTAAATCAAATGAAAAAGAGGAGCTAAGACGTTGATGCATGTGTGAGTTGAATAATGTGGATTCAGCGAAAACGCCGCCATTGAAACCGTTGTTAAAATGACAACCATGAAGTAAAAGTAAGAGCAGTCAAGGGTTAAAGTGAGATAAGTGATCAGGAAGTGACAGCTAAGACATAGAAGTTAACTCCAAAACGTAGATAAGATTCCCGACAAGAGCTCTGGAATTCATGTCGCTTCCCCTCAATGCCGCCGACTGCAGAGATGGCCAGGTGCTACTTAAATCGCGTTGTCGTAGTCTCCGCGTCCATAAATACACAGTATCTACCTCCCTGTCTCGTAACTAACGTTAGTGGGAAGGCAAGAACAAGTGAACTCTACTTAAGATTTAATTAAACGCGAAAGTTAATCAAGGCAAACGGCCAGGATAAACATGCTACACAAATCCAGGTTCAAAACTGGATGCATTCCGTTTCAAAAGCAGGGACTCAGCTCTGCCATAGGGAGCGGGTGAATTCCACACATATAGACATAGGACAGTTGATTTATCGGTATTAGAAACAAATACATGGGAACGTGCACAACGAGCTATTGCGATCTCTGTTAAAATCATGATACATATACTTCCACATACCTCTTCACTAGATTCAACCCACCACAAAGCAACTAAAATCTAATAGGCCAGATGTGTTTTCGGCGGATTTTCTGATGAGGTGCAGCCAAGGACGGGATTTTTGTTCCTATACTGGTTTATTGCGATTCAGTGGACAGCCCGTAATATACGGTTGAGCACGTTGTATTTATTTTTCGCCTAAGTAATTCAAATAAATTTGTGGCTTGATCCTCGATAGGGGGTTTATATAAGCTTAAACTTTGCTGAACTATTTTGATTTGCATGCCTCAAAACTTGGTGAAAAACTTTTAAACTTTCTCACCGCTACAGGATGAGGCGATTGAGAAGATGTAAAACCTCAGTGCGATACACAAATCTCCCCACAGTGCGATTTTACTTGTGTACGGGCAGTCAAGCTTGTTGCCCACATTGTGCAGAGTGCGGTGTGCGTGGTAGTTCCTGTCGTACGACAGCTATTTAATTTGCTATTTAATGCATATGCTTCCAGACTGCGATGGACACACCTACAGACCTATCTTATCGACTGTATACACTACTTAAGCTAATGCTTGCCGGTTTTCAGTCGTGTAATAAGCGTTTGTTCTGCATCAAGTCAGGCAACTTGAGATAAGTAAGTTGAGGACAGCTGTCATAATGTGAACTATCTTGAATCCTTACTATCGCACAAAAATCTAAATACTTTATCAGGTAGTAAATGATCTGTGGAAAAGATGGAAGCATAAATTAATGTATTTGGCACCTTGCCTACTGCTGTTGGACTCGCAGTATCCTCATATGAACCCTTTTAAAAAAAGAAACGTTCTCTGTGCTGCCGTCTTGCAATAAATTCAAAAATGAGGAAAACATTGGCGCGCGGAGTACGTAAAAGGTCTGTTAAATGCCAGCTTGCGTCTTCCGTTATATGACTGTTAATTAATGCGCAAGATATTGGCATTCTGCAAAAAGCTTTATGAAAATATGCGAAAACGTCGACGTTTCTTGTAGCTTTGGGAAAAAATGTAGGCAAAGTTGCCAGAAATTATGCATGATGCAATGCAATTTTTTTGCAAATTCATAAAACTTAAGAAGATAATAGAGCAATAACTAGATAATTGGGCGACATGGTTATTAAAGTGTCTACAAAGGTTGAAATTGCTTACAACGAACGACATTTTTTCAAAGATATTCGTTATTTTAACATTAAACATGAATATTTTATCATTAAACCAAAGTTTTTGCTTCAAGACATATGAAATAGCATTAGAAAAGTAGTTTATTTTAAACTGATGGTGTTTTATAGTCGATGAGAAACCAACTGCTAAGTAGAAGAATGTTTCTAAGGAAATTTCGGTAATGACTCTAAGCTGATAAATGTACCCGAATTTAAATAACTTACTGCGCATACTTAAGATCAAGGAGGTTTTAATTGTGGAAGAAGGTGAGTGCTGTTGTCTCATCCTAGGTATATCTACAATGATACTTCTAACGTAGAGTGTGCCTTGGCCAAAGATAGTTTCAGGCAAAAATGCAAATACTTGAATCGTGTATCATCGGGCCGCATTCGATTAAAAAGCACTGACCTGCCGTCTCAATATTTTTTACTGCGATCCTGGCTGGGCAAAGTACTTAGCCACGCGGGAGTGCAAAATCCCCAGTGCCAGCGTGCCAACGTGCCGAGTAGACGTCGTACCGAGAATCAACAGCAGTGATGAAATCGTTGCCATTAAAACGCGGGTGCAGACTACCAAACCATCATCATCATATCAAATACGACCACCAACGATGAGTGTGAGTGCGGATAATTATTGTAGGCAGCTGGCTGCATGACAACTGCAAGCTCCTAATGCGTCCATTATCGTCAACTCCACTGTTTCTAATGACGGGAAAATCCGAAGCATCGGACCAATAAACCTTCTGTTTCAGTGGTTGCATCAGCTTCTTCTAAACTGCTGTTCTCCCGTTCCTTTAAGTTTTTTACAATATTGTGCCGTACAAACATTTCACTTTCGTGACTGAGCTTACCGCTGAATTCGAGAATATGTTTCGTGAAGCTAGCAGCAGTATAGTAGAATCATCGGGTTTCGTCCTTGTATCAGACTCAATCAATTGGAACCATTTTGTTTTATCAAGCATTTTGGTTTATTTGGACTTAATAGGCCCACCTATTTCCAAAAGGAGTATATGAACTGATGTGGGCAAGAGTTTTTCAATCGAGAACTCAAATTTAGACACTAAGGCATTCCTATAATGTCGACATTAAAATATTTTATGTGTCACCGCATTAACCAGAAGAGCTAAATTTTAGTGAAAGGCTATCATCCTTCTTGACTAGAGAGAACGTTTTGATGCATCGTTTTGATGATCGATTTCGGTAATTTGCAGTTTGAAATTCATAAAAAAATGTAAACGGTACCCGATGCATATATGAAATTAGTACGTACATAGCTTGATAAGATAAGCTATGGCAAAGTAAAGACAAACACATTTAATGACATTCCTTGACATATAAGTGTCTTAACATAAAGCAAGCCCTTTTATCACATGGTTGTAGGCGTTCGTCAATACAGCATGCACGAGGCCCCGTGCTTAATTAAAATTCGCTTTTATGCACCAAACGAGCCAGTTGACTACAAAATACAGCAATTAATTATATATGCCTTTGGTCGTTTTTTTGAGTGCAAATTTATATAACATTTTAATGGTCACGAAATACTTATGTAATATTTTGTGCCAAAAATAAAGGTTAAGTGTGTGTACCGATTAACACGGACCGTACATCATGGCAAGCTGGGTTCACTCACACTGCTACCCAGACACATGCATAAAACATATCCCGACCCATAACAAGTAATGTAGAGTGTGCTGGTTATTCAGTTAATTAAACCATACTTCCCAAGGAGGAAGCTGAACGATAAGTTGCTCATACATACGAGTCCAGCCACTAAGACGTTCGTCAAATTAATAATTAAAATATGCACAGGCCGGTCCTATCATATTTTCTTATATACGTCTAATGTGGATCCCGGCCAATTGAGGCATTCAGTACCCGGGTTGACCGCCTTTTCCACCTCGAAAATGAGCAAACCAGTAAAACACTGTTATATTGCGGATTTAGTCCTCTTAAGTTGGTATGTAAGTTTTGCATGGGACGGGACAACTCCTAATTTGGACCGACAAGCAGACCATCGGATGTCATAACTTGGTTAAATGATCTGCATAAATTTTAGCGAACGTGGCAGAGTATAATAGCCAATCGTCGATTATAGAGTTGAGGAATTACTTACTGCGATAACTTGGAGGTTAGGGGATGATGAAGATAAGGTGAATTATGTGGTAGCTCATACGGGGAAAGTGGACGACGTGGGCACCTTTCGGAGTCTATAGTCTCCTTGCTCTTCGCAGAGCACGCTGGGCTAACGTGGATTAAATGGTTTTGCTAAGAGACCTTTTGATATTCACCCAACATAATTATCTCTTTTTACGGATAAGTTACTATATTTAATTAAGTTTGGCGATAGCAGACCACATGATTAGTGAAACCGCAAGTATTATAGTCATGTGTGCTTCAAAACCGAAATAATCACTTTTATCCGAAAATCCTCAGAAAGAAAGTTAACCTAAGGAAATATCATGGCTTCTTTCTAGAGGATATGATTAAATCAGAAACAAATCAATGCGGCAGTAAAAGTGCATACTACTTAATAACACGGAGAATTTACAGACTTATCCAGTGAGCTGTCTAGTCAAAACTAAGCATGCCATCTTAGATGAACTAGTTTGCGCTTTCAAAAAACTGAATCCTCTTTTTCATTTTTGAGCACACTTAAAACTTTGGGCCTTTGGTTTTATTACTAACGACGCATAACAGAATGAATGTGAGTGAACTTCCTTTGTCGAATGCATGAGACAGAAATTAAACATATTTTATCGATCAAATTGTAATTGAGGTGTTGTCCTATGAATGTTTCGGTATATTTTTAATAAGTATTAACGTCCATACCCCACGAGCGTCATTTTGCACATCGTTTAGCTTTCTTTTATAAATTTCCCCTCGGTTGTTTACGATTGAATATGTAATTGATGGTTAACAACGTTACAAATCCATTCAAACAAGAAGAACATGATGGTGCCCTCTTCTCAGATGGCAATTGGAAACGCTTCGATTAGATAATTACTACTTGACATACACTAAAATCCAGGAGATGCGAATCGAGTCACAGTTGTATAGAACATAAACGAGATCCAGCATATATTGTGTGCGATACAGATAACCGCAACAGCAAGGAAGGCTTGCCTGTTCAGCAGAATGTTCCACGTAATTGGGGCAAACCTCCTAACTCGCCTAATAATATGTCAAGTACGCTTTTTCCTGGAACTCTCATCAGGACAATTTCGGAATATACTGAAGTTCGAATTACCATTTGATAAATCTTTTGGAGGAAAGTAGTTTTACACTGAATAACATCGTTTATTGAGTGTTTATTTAGATATTGTCGGCATTATAGCGAAGATGTGCCATATATTTCGCTCCGGTCAGTATGCAGCAACTCTGAGCTAGGTCCATCCTGATTTTGCCACCTTCATTTACTGCAAACAATAAATTTGCTTTCTGTGAATGGTAGACTAACATCCGAATTTTGTCTAAGTGCACTGCGGCTACTTCGCGTGCGTAGCTGCAAGTTGATTTGCACCCAGAATATTTTTATTCGCAGAATTTTCACTTTCCCACAACAATAGCGGATCAGTGAACCATTTTGAACTTATAACTACACACTCCATGCGTTTTTTGTACCGCAAAGTTTATGAGAGGAGCAGCTATCATCACCTGTAAGACAAGGTACGTTAAGAGGAATTAAAAAAGGGAATAAAACCGAGTGTTTAGTTTTAATTATTAGCCTAGTCGTTTGCACTATCATCCATAAAATATTTGGGAAGAAAGAAGACAGTTCAGCATGCAAGTTCTCGTATGCTGTTTTGGTGAGCTTGCAGAAATGAATTGCCTTGAGAAGTTGGATGTTACATATTTACACTTCCATTGCAGTTAATAATATTTAAGGTCAAGGGGCACATTATTTGATGAAAAAACCCTGTATACTTATCATCTTATAAAACACTGCTTGATATCTCTAGCTTGAACGGTAATAAAAAAACTCATATCGGCACATAAACAAGTAAATATATCGACATTGCGTCTAAAATATAAAGAAAGGCGCAAACGGATCACCTCTTAAGTTATCAACAGTTAGTTTATAAATGATTCTAACGTTTAACTTTGATGGATTTTAAGTGCATCAATTAGGGCTGACTGAATGTCATAATGACAGACAATACCAGTACTTACTACGATGGACATTGAAAGTGTGGTAGACAGGAAGATGGGCACACCCTGATCACGTGCAATGAGCTCAAAGTGAAATCCAGAAACCACCTCCCTGTCTACTGATTTCAGAAGGCACAGAGATGGTATGGGCACATCATGCTGCACGGTAGTAAAGTCCGAATTTAGGCAGCCGCCTTCTGTTCCAGCAAGCATTCTAAAGTGTTGCTGCCACAGAGCACTGGGTGAGATTTTGTCGATCTGGTAAGTCAACGCCGCATTTTTGCCCTCATCCGGATCAGTTGCTTGAGGAAGTGGTATGATTGTACCCTGCGGCATATTTTCCGGCAGATAGAAAACAACCAAGTTCTCCTTATTCACCCTACTGACCATAGACTCTGCAGGTGGAGCGAAGCGGGGCGCATTGTCGTTCACATCGATTAGCTGGACGCGAATAGCAAAGGTGCCGTAAGTTCCCACCGTAATGTCGAGGAATAGACAGCAGCTAAATTCCACACTATTGCCGCCGAGAGATGAGGTCTTTTCGGTCACTTGAGAACAGCATTTCCGCGCAATAACAGCCCGATGCGGGAACATAAGCTCATCACAGACCATTTCTCGGTCAATGGGTTGCTCAGTAGTCATTTGATACCAGCTTTTGCCATCGCTGGTAACAGACTTGATAACAAATGGTCTGCTGTCTATGGCGTCTGTAAAATAAATGGCTGTCGAGGAAAGTTCTGAGTCTGCAATGTTTAATTCCTCTTGGAAAAGTTTCGACAGATTGAGGGATATTTCTTGTGGCATACCGGCCAATGACCTTGGTGCATACTCGGAGTGCTTGGAATGCTCTTGCTCAAGAGAATTGGATTCCTGCACAGTGATCGATCTGACATACTTGCAGGACAGAACGCCAGCAACGAAGTGGATTAACAGCGGAAGGGCCGAAAGGATAATTTGGCTCCAGATAAACGAGCGCATCATCAGCGCTGATTTTCAGCAGTGATATTTCTGCAGTGAAGAAAAACAGGGTTCGAGTTATCGCAAGCAGTCTCTTTAAGAAATTGCTTAAGAAAAAAAAATTAAGAGAAGTATTTTAATAAAGAAGATGCCTACAGCATAGTTCACAGGGAAGGTTTGGAATTTCTACATCTATTTGCGGCAAGGCAGTTTAAAGTACAATATTATGAAGCCAGCGTTCAGTTAATGGTGAAGGCACTTTCCGTGGGGAAATCTAAAGAAATTGCCATTTATCATTTAATTAAGGACCGCTAGTAAATGCGGTCTCTGTAAAACTATCAAAAAGCTAATGTGACCGACAAAATACTTTGTAAAATGTTACATATAAGATGCGGCTTTTCTGGATCCCTTCGAAGAGCCTCTTGCCAAAAGTTCACAACCAAGAGAGAAGCTAATTGATTCCATTTCTTACTTAATAAAACCGTCCACTGTTTTTTTCGCTGAAGGAATTGACAAGAAGCACCGCCTACATAGTTATCGTACTCAAAAGCATACGCACTCGAAAGATCCGCTTGATGAGTACGCTGTATTTTGGCCAAACGATTCACAATTGATGAATGTATCTGAATTACTGGTGGAGTATTCAAATGGAGTATTTTCCCCAGATGCAATAGTGAAAAAGTCAATGATGCCTTGTCCTAGATAGAGGTGCCATTTGTAAACTCGAACTAGATCAAAACCTTTAACACAAAAACATGTTTGCACGTATTATTAAATGTGCAGCCAATAGCGCATGATTTCGATTTGCATATCGTAACGTTTTACTAATTTTACAACTTAAGGCGGACCTATTAAGATTTAAACACAAACATATATGTCATTTCACTGTCGATAAGCAACCTCAAATTAAAAAAGAACTGTTTATTTTTGCAAAATGTCAGATAGGATTTTGTCGGCATTTTAACTTTTAATCCTTTTTTGCCATGTGCTTTCGTGTTACTCTACTTGATGGTTCATCGTATGCTGGAAAAAATATAGAACTTACTGAGTTTGTAGATATCTCGACTGCCTTAACCTTTTTGACCCAGCTGGCCTTACCCCTGGGCGAAGTAACAGGTAAATGTTCCCTTCTCCCACATGCAAATTCATTTCAGCGTGTTAGACGTCAACACGCAGAAAAAACCTTAAGCCACACCACATGAGCTCTTAAACAGCAGGTTTTGCATTAAACCAATCATAAAATTCTGCAACTTGCTGATTGAGGTTTGGTCGCAATTTCATTTACGCCTTCCAGGCGCCGACTGTCTGCTGCACCAGGCACGGGCGTTCGTAAGTGCTGTCACAGCTAAATCGCTTGGCAGTTTACGCTTCAGACGACTAAATGCGTCGCAAAGCAATCTGCAGCTTACCATTACTTATGCAGGGAATATTTTCAAAAGGAACAACAATACTCATTTCAACAGAAAGGTCAACTATGCCCTTTGCAAGTTAGGATATGTTTTGGAGGAACCACCACCACCACTGCCTTTTTGGAATTTCTGTCAGACAATTAGAAAATACATTAGACCGGAGGGTAAACAGCAAGCGGACACAAAGTTTCGCTCAAATTTTGGAGCCAACAGTCCAGCAACGATACAAAAAAGTGTCCTTAGATTACCTTGGGAGGATAGTATGCCGAGAGTAGTGCCAGCCTCTTTCCAATTTGCTGTAGACTGAATGAGAAGGAGGCGGGCTCTCGCAGTGGAGCACCAAACTTCCTAAAACTGCCCGAAAACAGAGCATGTGCACACGCGCGCACCAGCACAAACAGGCACGCCTGCACGGGTGGACGCGTAGGCGCACACTGGGAGACCAACACGGTGTGTCATTTGGACGCGCTTGCCAGTCCCGGAAGGATGCTCTGTCTCTCTCCCTCTCTGTTCCGCCTCTCGCTCACACTTGCGCCATCTCCTCTCTCGCAGTTTTGCTACTCGTCTGCGATATTTTCAACCTGCCTTCTGATTGGTGCAGTCTAGTCGATGTCGGAAATACCCTCTATGTCGACAACCACGACGACAGCGGCGCCGGCGGCAGCGGCAACTATAAAAAAAGGCAAACGGTAAAAAAGGGAGTGTTGGCGGGACTGTTTAGCTCCAGGATCTAGCTCGACGGATGTCCATCAGGTTGAGGAAGGGGGCCGTCGGAAGTGAGTTTGGGTAATATGTCACTTAAATGAACATTTGGTGGGAAGTTAAAGCGAGCAAAAGTGTCTTGGGAGTTAGAACCACCTGGTTTGTTGAATGGGACAACAGTGAATATGCACCATCCGTCATCCACTACTGAAAAGCAGGCCATTATATTAAGGGTAAATAAAGACACACTGATTGAAACGGACAACGAATATAAAGCATATCCATAAGAAAATTCTGCACGATTGAGGCCAGTAACCACTTCATTTTTCTAGGAAATATTTGCCAACCTATGGATAATATGTAGTAGGGGAAATGTATAGGTTCCCGTGCATAACGAATGAGCTTGCGCTACCTTTTTAGGGGGTCAGGTTTACGGTTAGGGTGAGAGTTATTGAAGGGTTTCGTACTAGGTGCACTACTAGGTACCGCTCTTGAATTTGACGCATTTCGAATAGGGGCGTAGGTTTTTCGGTGTCCAGCCGTACGTTTATTCAGTGCTTTGTGCTTTGAAATTCCTAAGGAAATGCAGATGGAGAGCATGTTGCTGTAGCTGGGTGAACTTTTCTGAAGTACTTCGCCAAAGGAGGCTCGAAAAAGTCCGAAACTACCAGACGTCTCGTGGCAGTTGTAACTGATCTGTCCTCACTGCGTGATTAAATAGGGCTCCTCTTTTCTATTTGTGGGTCCCGTCCCACAGATCCGTAAATTTGCTAAACGATGGATGTCAGCGCAAATTAAGGGAAACCTGGAAATCATATGTTAGATATTAATCAAGCATCGGCAGAAGGACATTACCAGCAAAGACAGGGGACACTAGGAAGGCCTTTT